TCTGCAACTTGCTTTTTTCACTTAACAGTATGCCTTAAAGATATTTTGTTGTTGGTACATAGACATCTACCTCTTTATATTGTGTTCTGTGGTATAGGTTAACCATAGCTTATGTTACCATTGTTACTGGTGAGAATTTATATGTTTACATTATTTGACCATTATAAACAATATCACAGCAAACATTCCTATACATGCTTTTGTGTGTACCTATTCAAGTATTCCCTGGTATAGAAAGAAAAAAAAGAATTGCTGGGTTGATGAGTGTGTACATTTTATTTTCAATGAAAACTGCCAAATATGCTTTAAAAAGTCCTGTACCACTTTGGTCTCTTACTGTTAGTAATTTTCTATACCTTTACTGTCACTACTGAGTATTATCAGTCTTTAAAAAATTTTCTAGTCTCATGAGTCATCTCACCAGCATTACATTTTTAAAAATTATTTTTATTGTTTGGAGATATATGTAAGTATACACACACACACACACACACACACACACACACACACACACACACACATTTGAGATAGGAGCATGTTCTGTTGCCCAGGTTGGAGTGCAGTGGCACAGTCACAGCTTACTGCAGGCTGGATCTCCTGGGCTCAAGTCATCCTCCTGCCTCAGCCTTCTGAGTAGCTGGGACTACAGGCATGCACCACCATGCCCAGCTGTTTTCTTTTTAAATTATTATTATTTGTAGAGACACAGTCTCACTGTGTTGCCCAGGCTGGTCTTGGACTCCTGGGCTCAAGCAGTCCTCATACCTCAGCCTTCCTTATTGTCCATTTTAATTTTGGATTACTATTTTTTTAACTGATTTGTAGATTTTTTAAAAAATTCCTTTTGTTTTACATGTTATAAATGTTTTCTTCCTCATATGTTACTTGCCTTAACTTTATGATGTATTTTATCATGTAAAAGTATTTAACTTTTAATTGGTCAAATAAGTGTTCTTCATATATTCTTGAATGTTGTTTCTTGAATAAGAAAAGGGCTTCCCTAACTCAAAGTTTATACAGATACTTCTATAATTAAATACTAAGAAAGTTTTTTTTGTCCCAAGAAAACTTAACAGAATTTTACTTTTTTTTCTTACTGATCTGGCATACTACCTTTATCATAATATTAATTGTCAAATACATGTAGCTCTGTTCTAACCTAATTTCTCTTCTGTTGACCTATGTATGTGTCTGCTCTGCTGCCAAATCACACTTTTACATGAGCATATCTTTATAAAAATTTTACTATGTGAATTGATGTATAATCTTCCCAGATCAGTCTCAGAATTGTTTTCTTATGTATTTTTTCATATAGCAGTGCTTTATTTATACTGTATTATAAAATATAAAGTTTCGTTGGTATTTTTATGGTTATTATACTGAATTTTAGATTTACTTAGAGACAGATTTGACTTTTTTTGTTTTGTTTTGTTTTTTTTGGGACAAAGTCTTATTGTGTCGCCCAGGCTGGAGTGGAGTGGCGTGATCTCCGCTCACTGCCACCTCCACCTCCAGGGTTCAAGAGATTCTCCTGCCTCAGCCTCCCAAGTAGCTGAGAGTACAAGCATGTACCACCATGCCCAGCTAATTTTTGTATTTTTAGTAGAGATGGGGTTTCACCATGTTGTCCAGGCTGGCCTTGAACTCCTGACCTCAGGTGATCTGTCTGCCTTAGCCTCCCAAAGTGCTGGGATTACAGGCATGAGCCACTGCACCCAGCCTAGATTTTTTAAATAGTATTGACTCTTTTTGTCCAGAAACATGTTATGTGTTTACATTAATTCAGATCTCATATGGTCTTCAGTCAAATTCTATTGTTGTCAGTCTAAAGGTCCTCTTTTATGTTTACTCCCAAATATTTTATTGGATTTGTTGCTATTTTGATTGGATTTAAATATATTTTCTAATTATTTATTGTGTATAGAACTTTTGATTTTTATTGTTGTTGTTGACCATCTAGCTATAGTAGTGCACCAAAATCTTCTATTAGTTCTAATAGTGTGTCAGTAATGGAGTGTCAGTTGATTCTCTTTGATATTCTAGAATAACTAACTCTGTCCAATAGAAATGTAATAGAAGCCACATAGGTAATTTAAAATTTTCTAGTGGTCATGTTCAAAAAGTAAAAAGAAACAGGTGAAAGTAATTTTAAAACTTTAACCCAATGTATCTGAAATATTTCAGAGTGTATTTAGCATAAAATATTAGTGAGATAATTTACTTTCTTTTTTGGGTATTAAGTTTTCAAAATTTCGTGTGTATTTTATACTCATAGCACAGTGTGATTTGAGCTAAGTAGTCTCACTTTAAATGCTCAGAACCACAAGTGGCTAGTGGCCAGTACTGGACAGTGCATTTCTAAGTGGACCAGCATGTTGCTTGCAAATAGTGAAACTTTTTCTCTAAATTTTTTTTGGTCTTTTTTTCTTTTGCCTTAATGTTTTTGCTTGAAGCGTCAGTACTACAATGCTGATACTGATGATATTTAATGGGAATACTTACACTGTTTGACCACTAAGAATTTTTGGTTAGAGGTGTCCTTTTGTTTCTAGTTTGTAAGAATTTTTCTTTCCTTAAGACTTCTATTTTTCTATTTTTTTTTAAAATTTTACTTTATGGGGTACATGTACAGATCTTGCAGGATTGTTACATAGGTATACATTTGCCATGGTGGTTTGCTGCTTCCTTCCCCCTGTCACCTATATGAGGTATTTCTCCTAATGTTATTCCTCCCCAATCTCCCACCCACTACTATCCCTCTCCTAGCCACCACCCACCAACAGACCCCAGTGTGTGATATTCCCTTCCCTGTGTCCATGTGTTGTCAATGTTCAGCACCCTCTTATGAATGAGAACATGCAGTGTTTGGTTTTCTGTTCTTGTGTCAGTTTGCTGAGAATGATAGTTTCCAGATTCATCCATTTCCCTGCAAAGGACATGAATTCATCCTTTTTTATGTCTGCATAGTATTCCATGCTGTATATGTGCCACATTTTTTTTATCCAGTCTATCATTGATGGGCATTTGGGTTAGTTCCAAGTCTTTGCTATTGTAAATAGTGCCACAGTGAACATACGTGCGCATGTGTCTTTGTAATAGAACGATTATATTCATTTGGGTATATACCCAGTAATGGGATTTCTGGGTCAAATGACATTTCTATGTTTAGATCCTTGAAGAATTGCCACAGTGTCTTCCACAGTGGTTGAACTAACTTACACTCCCACCAACAGTGTAAAAGCATTTCTATTTCTCCACATCCTCTCCAGCATCTGTTGTCTCCTGATTTTTTAATGGTCACCATTGTAACTGGAGTGAGATGGTATCTCAATGTGGTTTTGATTTACATTTCTCTAATGACCAGTGAAGATGAGCATTTTTTCATATGTTTGTTGGCTGCATAAATGTCTTCTTTTGAAAAGTGTCTGTTCATATCTTTCACCCACTTTTTGATGGGGTTGTTTTTTTCCTGTAAATTTTAGTTCTTTGTAGATTCTAGATATTAGCCCTTTGTCAGATAAGTAGCTTGCAAAAATGTTTTCCTGTTCTGTTGTTGCAGTTCACTCTAATGATGGTTTCTTTTGCTGTGCAGAAGCTCTTAAGTTTAATTAAATCCCAGTTGTCTATTTTGGCTTTTGTTGCCATTGCTTTTGGAAGTTCTTGCATAATGCCCATATCCTGAATGGTATTGCCTAGGTTTTCTTCTAGGGTTTTTATTATGTTAGGTCTTATGTTAAAATCTTTAATCCATGTGGAGTTAATTTTAGTGTGACATGTCAGGAAGGGGTCCAGTTTCTGCTTTCTGCACATGGCTAGCCAGTTTTCCCAACACCATTTATTTAACAGTGAATCCTTTCCCCATTGCTTGCTTTTGTCAGGTTTGTCAAAGATCAGATGGTTGTAGATGTGTGGTGTTGCCTCCAAGGCCTCTGTTCTGTTCCATTGGTTTATATCTCTGTTTTGATTGCTGTAGCTTTGTAGTATAGTTTGAAGTCAGGTAGTGTGATACCTCCAGCTTTGTCCTTTTTCTTTAGGATTGTCTTGGCTATGCAGGTTCTTTTTTGGTTCCATATGAACTTTAAGGTGGTGTTTTCCAGTTCTGTGAAGAAGGTCAATGGTTTGATGGGGATAGCATTGAATCTATAAATTACGTTGGGCAGTGTGGCCATTTTCCCGATACTGATTCTTCCTAACCATGAGCATGGAATGTTTTTCCATCTGTTTGTGTCCTCTCTTTATTTCCTTGAGCAGTGGTTTGTAGTTATTAAGTTTAAAAAATACATATTTGAATATATATATGAAAACATGGGAACTCTTGAGATGACTATATTATTTTTAAAAACTGAAATAATACTTCTAAAATGGTGAACAATTCTTTTATTTTAGAGACTAAGCCTCTTGATCATAATGCATTTATTTTTATTTTGAGACCGAGTCTCGCTTGTCACCCAGCTGGAGTGCAGTGGCGCCATCTTGGCTAACTGCAACCTCTGCCTCTGGGGTTCAAGTGATTCTTCTGCCTCAGTCTCCCGAGTAGCTCGGACTACAGGCATGTGCCACCACACCTGGCTAATTTTTGTATTTTTAGTAGAGACAGGGGTTTACCATATTGATCAGGCTGGTCTCGAAGTCCTGACCTCATGGTACACCTGCTTCGGCCTCCCAAAGTGCTGGGATTACAGATGTGAGCCACTGCATTCGGCCTGCATTAATTTTTTTAGCAATTTTTCTATTAGATTTCATTTACTTTTTAAAAAAATTTAGACTAATCATAAAAATTTGTATTTCTCTATTTTGTTTTAAATACAGTCCATCTTTGTCTAGTTTTTATATAAAGGAGGATTTTTCTGGCCTTGTGGAATGTATAGACATGATTCTTGTTCTACACTTTGGAACTGCTCATTACAATATTGTATTATATTACACAGAATACTGTACAGAAAGAAATACATTCATCTCATTGGTGGTGGTACATCCTAACAGTGTGTTTTCCTCCCCAGCAGGACTCTGGACTGTCTTCACACTAGGTGGTGTGGGCAGCAAAGCGGCTGCATCTCCAGAGCTTTCTTCCCCTCTGGCCAACCAGAGTCTCCTGCTTCTGCTAGTGTTGGCCAATCTGACAGATGCCTCAGATGTGCCAAACCCCTACAGACAGGCCATTATGTCCTTCAAGAACACACAAGGTTTGTGGTATTTTTTCTCTAATATTCTTTCTAATGAGGAGAGTATTGCTTATTCTATATTGTTGATTGTCTTATAGTTTTGGAGATGAGTATCCATTTGTACATTTTCATGTTGGTTAAACATGAGAAAAACTTCAGTGTTTCCTATCAGTATTCTCAGGAAGGTCAAGCAAATCTGAGAACAGGGCTGTGATTCTTTATATCTGTTTAAATTCATATTTCTTTCAGAGATAATCAAACCAGCACATGCTTAATTTGGGTCAGTCTGTACTACCTGTTAGGGATAGGAATTAACCTGGAAAACCCAAATGCTAGGTTATTTTAAATTTTGAGTTAAAATCTGTGTTCTAGAGTTTTATAGAACTAAAAATTAGAACATAAATCAGAAAACCTTTTTCTTTAAGGGGTCATGGCTTTGTTGAGCCACATGGTCTCTGCTGCAATCTCTTACCATCAAAGCAGCCATAGGTAATATATAAACAAGCGAGATGGCTGTGCTCCAATAAATCTCTACTTCCAAACAAGGGGTGGGCTGCCCATGCACTGTAACTTGGTATCAATAACTCCTAAAGTAGAAGGTGGGCATATAGCTTCATGTTGAAACAGTATCTCTTCTCAAAAGGTTACACTCTGAAAGCAAGATTCCTGTAGTACAGTTCAGTGCTACTTAATGGCAAGGCTGTGTTCCATTAGGCAGTTTTGTCACTGTGTGAATGTCATAGTGTACTTAGACAAACCTAGATGGCATAGATACCATGTGGTGTAGCCTGTTTCCCCTAGCCAAAAAATCTGTTCAGCGTGATGATGTACTGAATACTGTAGTCAGTCGTAACACAGTGGTAAGTATTTGTGTATCTAAGCAATCTAAACATAGAAAAGGTATAGTAAAAATGTGGTATTATAGAAAAATTAGCCAGGTGTGGTGGCTTGCACCTGTAATCCTAGCTTCTTGGGAGGCTGAGGCAAGAGAATCACTTGAACCCGGGAGGCAGAGGTTGCAGAGATTGTGTTATTGCAGTTCAGCCTGGGTGACAAGAGCAAGACTCCGTCTCAAATAAAAAAAAATGTGGTATTATAATCATATGGGATCATTGTTGAATATGTGGTCTATCATTGACTGAAACGTTATTATGCAGTATGTGACCAGATTTTCAAGACATTTCTAACACTAATGAAGATGGGTAGGAAGTGCAGTTGTTGGATGGGAGCATTTGTAAGGCTTTTGATGCCCTGTGCCGTGTTTTTTCCAGGTTATTCTGATCCACATTGTTTACAGATGTGGCTAAGTGTGCTTGTTACTTATGCCTTTACCTATTTTGGTATTATCGTTTGCAGCGTGTCTTTGTCCATTCGTGCTGCTCTAACAAAACACCTGAGACTCAATAACTTGTAAAGAATAGACATTTATTTCTCACAGCTCTGCACAGTTCTGGAAGCTGGGAAGTGAATCTAAGATCTAGGCACCAGCAGATTTGGTGTCTACGGAGAGTCTCTGCTTCCAAGATGGATCTTTCTAGCTGTGTCCTCACATGGCAGAAAAGACTGAAGGGCAAAAGGGGCTGAATGCTGTGTGGGCCCTGTTTTTACAAAGGTCTGCATCCTATTTATAAGAGAGGGACCTTTATGACCTAATTACGTTGTAAAGGCCCCACCTCTCAACTTTATTTCATTGGAGATTAAATTTCAACATGAATTTTGGAGAGGACATGAACAATCAAACTATAACACAAGACAATAGAGAATTAATAACAATTTTATGAATTAAACCACAAAAAGTCATATATCTCTTATTATTTTTCTGTTCCTGTTACTTATTCTTCTTGGTGACAGTATGGCTTAATGGTTAAGAAAACAGGTTTCAGAGTCAAGCATACCTGGGTTCAGACCACACCTCTATCTCCTCAGAGTATGAGACCTTTGACAGTTCGCTTCATCTCAATTCGTTTCAAAAGCTTTGCCTGTAAAATAGAGATAATGTCACCTAATATATACACATAGTATTTATATAAAGACCAAGCAAGGTAAAACTTTAAAGTGATTAGCCCAGATTTTGCAACAAAGCAGGTATTGAGTACACGGTATCTACTGTTGTTACTCTTGCTGCTCATGCCAAATGTTGGTATTTAGGGCTGAATTTTGCTTGGGATGGTCATGGTCTGGGAGACCATATAGTACAGTGATGCAAAATGTTGACTATAGAGTGTTCATATCCATCAGGGTTGATCTTGGCAAAGTTACCTAATTCCTTTAAGCATCTATTACATTCCTTATAAAACTGATCAGAGTAATGACATGTTTGTTTTATGGGTTAAGTAAGGGATAACACACACAAAATGCTTAGTTTAACAGCTGGTTCAGGGCATTTATTAGCTAGTAATATATAGATATGTGGATACATGCATGCAACACACATCTTCCCTTTGTAGTCAGGTATAATACAGGTTGGTGAATATGTTACTTTGCTTCCATTTTGAAGAAGTGAAGTGTGTCTAGAATCTTCCTCTGGTGAGCATTCTGTAGCTTCCATAATATCTGCAAACTCACAGCACATGGTAACACTTCCTTTTGCCCTCCCTTGCAAAAAATATAAAGGCAATCACAAAAAAGGAATTATTTTTGTAAGTGGTAAAAATGCAGTATTGTTAGTATTGAAAAAATAACCGATATTTCAAATGTGGAAGGAAAAGTGAGGATACTGGATAGTAAAATTGAAGGCGTTTTAGTTGCATTCTCTTCATAATCGTAAAGCGTAGAAAGAATCTGAGAGCATAGGGCTGTGCTGTCAAGGATTGTGTTGGAACACATCTCTGTTTCCATAAGAGCACAGCTTTTAGAAATGTTAAAGCAAGTTGTTTTGTTTTGGTAGTGCCTCTATGTTCTAAAGGCTTACACTTTTTGGAACTTTTTAGAACATAAAAATACTAGCTCTTTGTGCTACCATGTTCAGCATTTAATTTGAGTGGATGATGACTTTCTCTTAATCCATTGAACTTATCTTTATCTCTTTTTTTACTTCCTAACCTTGGTTGCTTCAGTTTCTCAGCAAATCCACTTAGCTGTTGGAAAGGGGCTGTGTTGGTTTAGAATATCAAGAACTTTCCTAATACAGGCTGTGATTTTTGCTTTTCATTGTTCCAGTGACTGTACTTAAAAAAGTAAGTTTCTTAGCAGTTGTTGTCAGTTAGGTTTGCATTGGAGATTATTGGATTATATTTTGTATTATATTAAGTTTTTCTTTAAAGAAAAATAAAGTTATAGAAGTTTCTGGTAGTTGTCTCAAGATTGGTATGCTCTGTTTATTATCGAGCCGAACGTTGAACATACACAGATGGCCCCCAACCTGCAATGGCTGGACTTAGGATTTTCTGACTTTTTGATGGTGCAAAAGCAATACAAATTCAGTACTATATTTGACAAATTACATGAGATATTCAACACTTTGTTATAAGATAGGCCTATGGTTACAGTTGGATTAATATAATTTAGAGCTATATACAAATATATTAGGCTAGGCTACGCTATGATATTTGGTAGGTTAGGCGAATTAAATGCATTTCAACTTAGAATATTTTCAATTTAATGATTAATGTATGGGAATATGACCCCATTGTAAGTTGAAGAATATTTGTACTGATTTTGATGTAAGTAGATACTTCACCCACAATATATTCATTTGAAGAAAACCCAGCTTTAAAGGCAATTTTTCTTTTTAATTCTGTCTTAAAAGAATTTTCTATTTTGTGTGAAAATTATATCTTTTGTCTCTCTATATTTTTATTTAGGACTGATGGTTATTTAGTTTTGGTACAAAGTATTTCATCTCAATGTCCTGGTTAAATTGTATTGATGGGAGGGCCTTTTGCCTGGCTCATAATTCTGTTTATTTAAGTTCATGTTCTTACAGCTGATTTATTTTGGCTATGTTAAAGGAAAATAGTAACAAAGTCAAACTATATGACTTAGTTTAGTTCTTTTTAAAGTAAATTTTATATAAATTAAAATTTTGAATCTGAAATGTAGTGACTTTTCATAAAATGAATGGGAATTGAGTTGTACACATTACTTAACAGTATTTTTATTTATATAAAGCACAGCTAGAAAATACTGATGTGCTGTTTTCTGTATTCCAGATAGCAGTCCTTTCCCCTCATCAATTCCACATGCCTTCCAGATCAACTTTAATAGTTTGTACACAGCTCTTTGTGAACAGCAGACATCTGATCAAGCAACTCTCCTCTTGTATACATTGCTCCATCAAAATAGTAATATTAGAACATACATGTTGGCTCGCACAGATATGGAAAATCTTGTAAGTATCATACTAAATGTTCCATGCATTTGTATTTTATATTTTGAAGAAACACTTCTTTTCCCAAGAGGCAAGTATATTTGCCTGATTGCCACAAAGGTGACGATCTAGACACAGACAGAGGGTAGGAGCTTCTTCAGCCTACGAAACAGCTCATGTGGAGGTGGCCTCCAAAAACAGGACAGAGCAGCATCCCTGGCTGGCTTGATATACCTCCCTGTCCTTACAGTCTTTAATGGCCACCTGTTGCCCAGGAGTCAGCCTGTTCGAGTCTTCCAAGAACCCTCTGCAATTCTCAAGGAGATGTTTAAATCATCTTGGTCCCTTCCATCTGCTAAGTGCCTGCACACCAAGTTCACATTATTCATTACAATTGCAGCATATTCCTGATGAGAATGCTGAAAGAAAAGTGATGTTTCAACTCAGCTGCCCAAATGTCCCATCCCCTCTGTCAGGCTTAGACTTTAGGACTGTTTGAACTCATTCCCTGGAGTGTGACAGTCATTTTAAGATACCTTTGCCAGATATCACTTAAATTATACTATTTATCACTACATGAGTGAAATTAGTTCTCAAATTTTTGTTCGTAGACAAAAACTCCTGTAAGCAATAATTAATTTCCTTTATGACTAATGTGCAAACATCAGTGTTTCTATGAAGGGCAGAGTAGTCTACCTCACCAAGGTGTTAATGTTGTTTGAAATACATAGTATGTAGATAACTATGGACCATTAATACATTCATAAAAATGTGAACATTCTCGAAATGCCGTTAGCTGGTTGATAGCAATGAAATATCCCCTCTGTATCAGTTTTTACAGGTTGATAGCAGGATTCTCCCAGTATTTGATTACCATTTTTTGATTTGATTACCAAATCTCCCAGTATTTGATTACACAGTAAAATACTGTGTAAATAGTGAAGAAACATGGAATACTAGAATTCATTGAACATATTCTGCATCATATTGACACTAAGAACAAAAGATGGCTGGGTGCGGTGGCTCAAGCCTGTAATCCCAGCACTTTGGGAGGCCGAGGTGGGTGGATCACGAGGTCAAGAGATCGAGACCATCCTGGTCAACATGGTGAAACCCTGTCTCTACTAAAAATACACCCACAAAAAAAATTAGCTGGGCATGGTGGCGTGTGCCTGTCATCCCAGCTACTCAGGAGGCTGAGGCAGGAGAATTGCCTGAACCCAGGAGGCGGAGGTTGCGGTGAGCCAAGATCACGCCATTGCACTCCAGCCTGGGTAACAAGAGCAAAACTCCATCTCAAAAATAAAAAAAAAAAGGTGTCCTGAAAGAGTCTGTCTCCACATCAGGTCTATGTGGAAAGCATTGCTTAAATAGCAAATTGAGTGTGAAAGTACACTGCTCATATGAGTAAAATCCTGTAAAGAGAAGGCTTGTTTCCAGATGAGTGTGTATAGGCATAGAGACAATTCTGAGTGTGATGTATTCTAAGGGAAACATTGGCATTAAGCAGGAAGCCCGTGCCATCACCTGTTTCAGAAAGTTATATGGTAAGGATGCAGGTATATAAGATGGTGCAGGGAGCAGCTGTCTCTGTGTTTGCTGACATGCCTGGTGAAAAGTTAAAAGGTTTTGTGTAGTAGTTTTTTTGGAGGCTGGTGTTTGTTTACTCATTCTGGTTTTGTTGGATAATTTCTTAATTTAAGCCCCATCTGTCCTTTTGCCTTTCTTCTATAGTAAATATGCTTAGGCTTTGATTAGAAAATATATTATCAGTAGGAAATTTACTGTGGTGATCTGATTTTGTTGTGGCTATCAATTTTTTTATTCTACAGTCATTGACATTAAGAAGGTAATATTTGACAGATGACAGTGTTTGTAAGAAATACTTTATTGTGTGTAAATCCTGTAAGGCCAGAGGCAGACTTGCCTCTTCAGCGTCAGATGTTGGCTGATTTGGATTCTTTCTATTGATGATCTGACTCACTACTGATTGACTTGTTTTAACTTAATACAAGTTCATTAATCTGGTATAACTTCTTATGGTACATTCTCAATTGGTATCTATTAGAATAACAATACACTGACTTGCATTTTCTTTTTATGTCTCTGATTAGTGTCTGGGGTGAATCCAAGTCTGTGAATATTAAGAACAGGGCTTAAGAGGGCATTTTTTTTTTTTTAAGAAAAACCCATTATGGATGGGAACACAATTTTTATATTTTGTCACAAGCAAATGATTACCAAGAAAAGTAGCTAGACATTTGAAATAGTCATGATTCTTTTAGTTGCAACAAACCCATTTATGCCTACATAAACAGAAATATATTTGTACAAATGAAAAATTTGTGCATTTTTTTTTGGCTTCAGTCATAGCTGGTCCTAGGGGCTAAATGATATTATCCAGGCTTGGCCTCTCCATCCTTTGCCTCTGCCTTCTATGGCTTTGGCCTTATTCTCAGGCACACACTTTACAAGTGGGGAGAGAGGTGGCCAGCAGCAACTTTGGACATATGTCCATCTTGCAGCTCATAAGCTAAAAGGAAGAAAGATTATATGACTACTTCAGAAATATTTCATGAAGGGCTCCAAAGGTTGTGTATCCACTTATTTGACCAATGACTGTGTAAGTCTACCCTACAAGGGTAGAGGGAAATTCCCTAAGGAAGAGATCTTGGAAAAATAATATATAGTCACTTCAACACAGCGTTGCTTATAACTTTCATAATCAGGCCATTATGAATTGTTGCTCTTTTAATTTCTGTTTGTGTTAGTCCAGCAGAGATTAGGCTGGTATTTCCCTTAGGCCTCCAGTATTTATCTACTTTTGGGTCAAGTCTTGAGCCTGCACAGATATTGCAGATATGCAGCTCTTGACATTTTGATATCTTACTCATTTGAGACTTCACTGAAGAGACACTTAGAAAATGAGATTAATGTTTACAGTGATTATGATTTGTCATTAATTGTAAAAGAAATGACATGGGATCTTTATATCTTGTTTTAGATGAACTAATAGTCCTTTATTTTCTGAGTGTGGTTTTTATGCAAGCATCGAAAAGGAAAAGTATTTGTTTAGCCCTTTCTCTTTTCCTTTTCATGCTACCTTTCTTAAAAGCCTTGAGCCACATTCTTTGCCTTTACTTCTTGTGCACTTTTCTACCTTTTGTGATCTAATATCTGTTCCTACAACTCCCTCATCAGCAGCTCTAATTGTTAGTAAATCTTTGGGGATGTTTCATCATTATCTTGTTTGACTGCACTGCTGCATATGACACTGTTCATCTCTTTATTCTTTAAACTGCTTAATACCTTTGTCTTAGCCAGTTCTGGCTTATTTCAGAATTTAGTGAGTCCTGACTGCTTTAACAAATATACCACAGACTGGTGCTTAAACAATAGAGAGTTATTTCTCACAGTTCTATAGGCTGGGATTTCCAAGACAGAGATATCAGCCCCCTTGGTGTCCGGTGCAGGCCTGCTTCCTGGTTTGTCAATAGTCATCTACTTACTGTGTCCTCACATGGCCATGAGCAGTGGCAAAGAAGCAAGCTCTCTCCTATCTCTTCTTATAAGGGTACTAATCCCATTATGAGGGCTCTACCCCTATTACCTAATCACCTCCCAAAGGCTCTGCCTCTTTATAGTGTCATATTGGGGGTTAGAGTTTCAACATATGAATTTTGGGGGCCCAAACATGCATCTATAAATATATTCCTTAGCAATCAAGTTTATTATAAAAAAAAGAAAAAATATATATACACATTAGCTTTCTGATCATTGTAGTCTGCTGGTTTTCCCACCTCTATGTCTACTGCTTTTCTCTCTTTTTTATGTATTATTTTTCCTTGTCCTTAAATGTGTCCTACTGCACGGTTCTGTCCTCCTTTTTGTTTTTTCTCTGTATTTCTCCCTAAAGCATCTAAGCAAATTCAATGTCATTTATATGTTGCCAGTGTATATGTTCCTGTTAATATGAGCCATATATATTCAGTTCTATGTTTGCAGTCCCGATTGCCTATGTCTCGTATCCATGTATCCAGCTGCCCCAGACATTTCCCAGTGGCTGTCTCATAGGCACCTTAAACCAAATATGTAAAAATCGGTCTCATTATTTTTCCTGCTCTTCCTTCTCTTACTCCTGTATTCCGTATCACACTGAGCCATTCATAGTTGGCAAAAGCTTTGACTCCTCTGTTTCATTTTCCCATATCCAACCAAATCTTTTTATTTTCTTATTGTCTTTGGAGTGTTTTAGTGTTCTTTTTCCTCATTGCCATTCCTTTGGTTTAAACTGCCTTCATCTCTGACTTCAATTATTGCAACATCTTTAACTGGTTTTCCTGCTTTCTGTGTTGTTATTCTATAACACTTTTTTACCCTGTTTCGAGAGTGAGTTGATTAGAGTCACATCTGATCATGTCACTTCCCTGCTTTTAAAGTACTTTCGTGGCTCCACAGTCCCTCAGGTTGAAGCTCTCACTCTTTAATGTAGCTAACAAGACACTTTATAATTTTGCCACAGCTTCCATTTTGGGTCTCATCTCTTTGCCATATGTCCTTTGTATTCTTTATTTAATCATAATGAATTAATTTAATTTCTCTCAATCTAACCTATCTCCTAAGTTTAGACTTGGTTTTCTCTCTAGAATACTTCTCCTTTGAATTTTCTCCTTGTTCCTCTTCTCAGATAACTCCTAGTAGTTTTTCAGATCTCAGTTTAGATAGTTCTTTCAGAACCAAAGTGCAATTATAACAGTAATTATATACTGTATCCAAGTGGGATTTATCCCAGGGATGTAAGCTTGATTAGACCTCTGAAAGTCTGTTACTGTGATATATCGTATCAACAGAGTAAAAACAAAAATCATATGATTATTTAAATAGATCCAGAAAAAAGCATTTAACAAAATCATCACCTTTTTTTTGAAATAAAAGTATTTAACAAACTAGGAATAGAAGGGAACTTCCTCAGATTAATAAAGGGCTTCTATGAAAACCCCACAGCTGACATCATACTTAATGGTAAAAGACTAGGTTTTCTTTCTCCCTAAGATCATCTACAAAACAAGGATATCTGCTTTTGCCATTTCATTCAACAATATAGTGGAGTTCTAGCCTGGGCATTTGAGCAAAAGAAAGAAATGAAACATATCTAGATTGGAAAGCAAGGTATAAAATTATCTGTATTTGCAGATGGCATTATCTTGTATATAGAAAATCCTAAGGAATCCACTAAAAAACTATTATAATTAATAGATGAGTTTAGCAAAATTGCGGGATACTGGTTTAGTATAAAAAGTCAGTATGCAAAAAATTTTATTTTTATATATGAGCAATCCCAAAATGAAGTTAATAAAATAGTTTTATTTAAATAGCACCAGAAATTTAACAAAAGAAGTACAAAACTTAAACTCTGAAAACTACAAAATATTATTAAAAGAAATGGCAAAACAGATATTCATTGATCACAACACTTAAAAAAAAAATAGAGATAGGGTCTTGCTATGTTGCCCAGGCTGGTCTTAAACTTCTGGCCTCAAGCAGTCCTCCCTCACTGACCTCCTAAAGTGCTGGGATTGCAGGCATGCATCACCATACTCAGCCCTGATCATAGTATTTCACACTCTAAGATGGAAGTATTCTCCAGACTGACATACACATTGAGCATAATACCTATCAGAATCCCAGCTGACTTCTTTATAGAGATTGACAAGATGATTTAAAAATTCATATAAAATTACAAAGGACCAAGAATAGCCAAAACAAGCCTGAAAAAGAGCAAATTTGGAGGACTCATACTTCCTGATTTCAAAACTTAATATAAAGTAACACTAATCAATACAGTATGGTACTGGCACAAAGATAGACGTAATACATCAATGGAGTTGAACTGAGAGTCTAGAAATAAACCCGTATACCTATCATCAACTGATTTACAGCTGGGGTGCCAAGATCAACATGGAAAGAATAGTTTTTTCAACAAATGGTACTAGTGCAACTGTGTAGCTACTTGAAAAAGAATGAAAGTTCGGCTTTTGTTTCACCCCATATACAAAATGAATTCAAAATGGGTCAAAGACCTAAAAAGAGCTAAAACTATAATTCTCATAGAAGAAAATGGGGGTAATCTTCATGACCTTGGAATTGCAGATGACTCTTAGATATAACACCAAAAGCGTGAGCAACAAAGGAAAAAACAGGTAAATTGGACTGCATCAAAATAGAAACTTTTGTGCTTCAAAGGACCATCAAGAAAGTGAAAAAGCAGCCTACAGAATGTGAGAAAATATTTGCAGATCACTTATCTGGTAAGGAACTGTATCTGCAATATATAAAGAACTCTTAAAACTCAATAGTAGAAGGACAGCCCAATTGAAAAATTGATGAAAAATCTGAATAAACATTTCTGCTGGGAAGATACTCAAATAGCTAGTAATACACACACGAATAAAAACTTGATATTATTATTCATCAGGTAAGTGTAAATCAAAACCACAGTGAAATGCCACTTTACTCCCAGTGTGATGCCTAGGATAAAATGTTAGATAATTAAAAGTGAGGATGTGGAGAAATCTAATCTCTCATACACTGTTGGTGGAAATGTAAAGTATTGCAACGGCTTTGAAACACTCTGGCAGTTCCTGGAACAATTAAACAGTTACCATATGATTCACCAATTTCTCTTGGTTACATATATAACCAAGAGAAATGAGTATATGCCTGCAGGAAAACTTGTATATGAATGTTTCTAGCAACATTGTTCATAACAGCAAAAAAGTGTGCAGTTCAAATGTTAGTCAACAGAAGAATGAGTAAGTGAAATGTGGTATGTCTTTGCAATATTATTCGACATAAAAAGGAATGAAATCCTGATACATACTGCAACATGGATGAACCTTGGTAACATGTTCAGTGAAAGAAGGCAGTCACAAAAATCTACATAGCCTATGATTCTATTCATACAGAAGTCCAGAATAGGGAAATCTATAGAGACAGAAAGTGGTTCCTTTGGGCAGGGCAAATAAGGGACTGGGGAAGGTGATAATTAAACAGTATGGGGTTTCTTTTTGAGGCAGCAAAATTTTTCAAGTTGACTATGGTGATGATTACACATTTATGAGTATATTGTAAACCACTGAATTACACACTATAAATGGATTGTATAGTCTGTAAATTGTATCTCAATAAAAATATTTAAAAGAATGAAGTACTATTTTGACATAGGCTCATTGGACCTGTTACTTTTATATTATTATTTCCTTAAATATACCATTTATTTGTGTGACTTGAATAGTAAAGTCCAGAGTCTCAAGAATACTTTCAGTACTCTGTTGGTATTATATACTGTAGGTAAGACATGCTTCCTGCAGGCTTAGCAAAATAAAAAACATGGCATAAAATATATAGTCACATGTTGCTTAATGTGGGGATGCATTCTGACAAATGTTTTATTAGGTGATATTGTCACTGTGCAGATATCATACAGAGTAGTGTACTTACACAAACCTAGGTCATATAGCCTAACCACACACCCAAGCTTTATGGTATAGCCTGTGGCTCCTAGGCCATAAACTGTACACCATGTGACCATACTAAATACTGCAGGCATTTGTAACACAGTGGGATTTGTGTATCTAAACATAGAAAGGGTACAGTAAAAATATGGTGTTATCATCTTATGAGACCATACAACTACAGACTATTATATGTTGTCTATCGTTAATGGAAATGTTGTGTGGCGTATCGAAAACTCCAGAAGCAGAATTAACAGACGCTGAGTTAAATCATTTAAATATAACTGCTTACTAGGTAATGTTGACTGTGAGTACAGTGTATTATGTTTGACACAGTGTCAGAAGGAACTCCCAAGATAAGAATGCCTGGGAAAAGAGAAGGAGCAATGACTACTTGGTGACTGATACACTTCGTTCCTGGAATTTAGCAGTGCTCATGCATGGAACTTCACAATTTAGAAGAATTTTTAGCTACAACTTGTGAAAGAATAAAACATACCAGTGCCACATTTTAAAAGCTTCCTATGATAGGTGTGCCTGCCAAAACATGTATGCCCCGATGTGCGGCATGTCAGCCCATTTTGGTGGGCTTTGCATACCGGCCTGTGCTTTGGGACTTGTATGTATAAACAATTTACTTATTACACGTATTGTTTGATTTCAGTGATAGATTTTTTTTTTTTTTGCTTATTTTCTAGCATTGAGTAGATAGTTAGTGTTCATGGTTTCATACAAGACATGCTATGTAGCTAGTCTGCCCATCTTTAATAAGTAACTTTAGTAACCTTACTTCAGTAAAGAAGGAACAAATTGAAAAAATTGAAGGTGTCAAAGTAATGATTTGAAATAAGCACAGTTGGTCTGCATGTAAACGGCATTATGAAATGAAATGTTTGACAGATACACTGAAGAGCAGATCTTAATACATATGTTGGGAAAATGCAGACTTGTGTGACTTGTCAAGTAAAGTACAGAGTCTCAAGAATATTTTCAGTACTCTATTGGTATTATATACTGTAGGTAAGATGTGCTTCCTGCAGGCTTAGCAAAATAAAAAACATGGCAGACCCTTGTATATGAATGTTTCTAGCAACATTGTTCATAACAGCAAAAAAGTGAAAGCAATTCAAATGTTAGTCAACAGAAGAATGAGTAAGTGAAATGTGGTATGTCTTTGCAATATTATTTGACATGAATAATACCCTTGGTTTGCAAGTCTGTTTAATGACATGTTTGCTTTAAATATATTTCTTGAAATATATTTTTTACTTGTTAGCTTTTAAAAAGTGGTGCTAAGCACATAAAATGTTAACTTCTGAGCAGCTGTGCTCTCCCCTCTACTCCCACTTTTTAGTTAAGTTGGGAGAAGGCTATGTGACTTCTTAAAATCTTCAAAACAAACCATGAGCCTAAATGGTCCTTGCAGATCCAACCTTTATGTTGGTTAGATCTTCAGAGACCTTTACAGAGTTAGTGATGATTTTCTCTACTGGCATCTTAACTATACATATGGAAAGTACATTCATCAAAAGTGGGTTTATATTGTTTTATTTTCTCTAATGAAAAATATAACTATGATATTAAAGCAAAGAGTATAAAATAAAATTGTAAAGATTTAAAATATTTGGATATATAATCAAGTATTGAAATAGTCAATTATAATTTTTATTCTCTAGGTTTTACCAATTCTTGAGATTCTGTATCACGTTGAAGAAAGGAATTCTCACCATGTGTATATGGCCCTTATAATATTGTTGATTCTTACAGAAGATGATGGCTTCAACAGATCCATTCATGAAGTGGTAAGTTACCAATAGTTGAATTAGAGTTAGAGTTACAGAACAGACATGTCCCTGTGTAAGATTTACTATAGTCCTTGCATTTCTTTCTGGTAGATGTTCCTGTGAGAACCTGTGTCAGAAATGACATGTTTTCAGATTTATGAAGCAGTGCTTTCCCCCCCACCCCAGAATGCCTATTAAGCACTATTAAAAATTCTCTCAAAATGGTTCTTTAATAATTGATATAAATGTTTTTGCTGATATTGGGTTCATTTTTCTTAAGCATTTTATTTCCACGTTTTCATTGTGGCAGAAATGATCAAGCAGGTTTGCTTCATGCATATGGAATTAGAGAAGAAAACAAGTCCAAAAGGGGAGTTTGAGAAATCCATTGTTTTATTTATATTTTTTAAAGAATGTAACATAGTTTAACTCTTTAAATTTTGGTCTTGTTGGAGACTTTCATTCCCAAATTGGTTTTATTTCTTTTGGCATTTATTTTATTTTATGCATCAAAGTAATACACATATGTAGTTTTAAAACTTATATGGAAGTATGAGGTTTTAATGAAAAATAACAGACCCATGTTCACCCTGTTTCTGATTCCCATTCTGCTAAGGCAGATGCTTTCAGTTCTGTCTATGTTTCTAAGTAACATACGCATTTTGTGATTTTTTTTTCAGCTTTAGATATTAACTATTCTTGTCCTAAGATGGAATATGGTCATTGGTTCTTCCTGCATACCACATGTGTTCCCTCTGGGTTTCTAGCACCACTTGCCGCCACACAGACTTTTTCCTTTTTCCATCTTATTAGCATTTTTGGTTAACTCAGCTTTTATATTATTATTTTCGATGTTATTTTAGTTCAACTATGTACTATAGGATAATTGCATTTCCTTTCTTGAACATGTTTTACTGTTTCTGTTGCACTTCATTGCCCTGTTTTTTTTAATTTGTGTACCAATCACTGATTTGACCCCCAATACTTCAACAGAACTGAAACTTTGCTCAAAATATATTTAAATTTACTGAGTTTTCTTTTTGGACTCCTGTCTTTCCTGGAGCAGCTGGTGGCCCTGGTTGATCTGTTCATCTGTAGGAGTAAGCACTAAGAAGTCAATTGGAAGTTCTGTGTGTGGGCAGGGCTAACTTATTGTGCCTTGCTGAACATAGTCTCTTTTTCTGGGACTCTGTCCCTGTAGACTATTGTTTTGGGTGGATTGTTTCTCAGGATTCTTCCAGTCTCCTTGTTGGGGTCTATAGGAAAAGGGGGCAGGGGCAGGGCTTTCACTCTTTATAAGAGTACAGACCCTTTGCTTTCTTCTCATTTTCAGTAGGGCTGTTATATTATCTTTACCCTTCTCTCATGTTCCTTTAAATCACGTTTTTGCCTCTTACATAATATGACCATAATTTCAACTAAGATTTAAGGAATCTTGACCATCGTGGAAAGAGTACAGAACATACAAATTTATTTTTTGTGTATATATTTAAGTTGATGTTTTGAAATATATTAATACATATACATAGAGAATTGGCTATTTTAGTCAAGTAAATTAGCATATCTGTCATCTCACACAGTTACCCCCTTTATTGTTTGTGGCAGGAGCAATGATACTCTCCTTTGGCAAAAATTCTGAATACAATATCGTTAACTACAGTCCTCATATTATACATTAGATCTCTAGACTTCATCCTATACACCTGCAGCTTTGGCCTGTATCTCCCCATTTCCCTATCTCCACCCCCTGGTTCCCATTGTAATATCCTCTATCTCTGTGTATTTGACTTTTTAAAAAGATACTCTGCATAGATGTGAGATCGTGAAGTATTTTTTTCCTTTGGTTTATTTCACTTAGAATAATCTCCTCCAGGTTTACCTATGTTGTGCCAAATGTCAAGGTCTCCTTCTTTAAGGCTGAACAATATTCCTTTGTTTACACAGCCACGCACTACTTAACAATTGGGAAGCATTGTGAGAAATGCATTGTTAGGCAGTTTTATCATTATGCGAACAACACAGAAGATAGTGTAGCCTACTACACAAACAGGCTGTGTGGTATAGCTTGTTGCTCCTGGCCATGAACCAGTACAGCATTGTTACTGTATACTGTAAGCAATTGTAACACAACGGTAAGTATTTGTTTATCTAAGCATGGAAAAACACAGTATAAAAGATTTTAAAAGGCACACCTGTATAGGGCATGTCCATGAATGGAACTGGAAGTGGTACTGATTGTATCAATGAGTGAGTGGTGAGTAAATGTGAGGGACCAGGACATTACTGTACACTACTGTAGACTTGATAAAGTCACCACAAACACATGAACAGTGTGTAGTGCTACAATGGCTACAACATCTAGGTGATAGGAATTTTGTTGTAATCATCTGGGACCATCATTGTATATGTAGTCAGGCATTGAGAAAATGTGGCAGATGACTGTACGTACATTTTCTTTATCCATTTGTCTGTTGATGGACTCTCTGGCTATGTCCATGTCTTGGGTATTCTGAATAGTGTTCCAGTGAACTTGGGAGTGCAGCTATCTTTATGAGGTGGTGATTTCATTTTCCCTACACCCAGAAGAGGAATTGTGAGATGATGCTCTAGTTCTATTTTTAATTTCTGTAATAATCTATATATTGTCTCACTGTGGTGGCTCAAATCTGCATTTCCATTAACAGTGTGCAAGGGTTCCGTTTCCTGCACCCGCTCCCGTACTTGTTACCTCTTGTCTTTTTCAAAATAACCATCGCACTGGTATGATGGTTTTGATTTGCATTTCCCTGATAATTAGCAATTTTGAGCACATTTTCATATACTTCTTGACCATATTTATGTATCTTTTGGAAGAATGTCTATTCAGATTCTTTGCCCATTTTTTAATGGGGTTATTTGTTTTTCTGCTGTTGAGTTGTGTGAGTTCTTTATATATTTTAGATATTAGCTCTTTATCAGATACATGGTTTGCAAATATTTTATGTCAATTCAAAGGCTGCCTTTTCATTTTGCTGATTATTTCCTTTGCTGTGCAGAGCTTTTAGTTTAATATAGTCCCATGAATTCATTTTTGTTTTTGTAGCCTGACCTTTTGGTGCGAACGTAGACATTTCTTAGTTCTTGTTTTCAGTGAAATACTATGAGAAATAATATTTTCATTGATTTACTCAACTTTTTAAATATAACTTTTAATAAGGAATTAAAAACAAGTATGATTTTTAAAAACATTTTAAAATTGAAGTATAATATGCATGTAAAGTACACAAATTTTAAAGGAAAACTAGTGAAATTTACATTCTATATTTGTGTTACCACCCAGATCAAGATATTGAACATTTCTAGTATAATAGACGATGCCCTTATGCCCTTTCCTGATCAATACCCCAACCCAACCAGAGTTAATTGTTATCCTGACTTACCTCACAATAGATTAGGTTTTGTCTTTTTAAAAATTACTGTGCGTTTTCTTATATTGGCTTCTTTTGTTCAGAATAGTGTTGGTGAGATTCATTTATGTTATTGCATCATTAGTGTGTTCTTCTATATTGTTATGTGCTATTCTGTTGTATGAATATGCCACAGTATATACATATCCATTATTTTGTTGTGGGCATTCTTTTCCAGTTTTATGCTATTTTTAATAAAGCTGTGTACATTTCAAATTGTATTTTCATGGACAAATACACTCATTTCTCTCGAGTATAGAAGTAGTAATAGAATTGCTGGATCCCTTTCCGTCTGGCGACAGCCATCAGGTAAGCCAAGATGGGTGCGTGCAAGTACATCCACGAGCTATGGAGGAAGAAGCAGTCTGATGTCACGTGCTTTCCTCTGAGGGTCAGCTGCTGGCAGTACTGCCAGCTCTCTGCGCTCTACAGGGCTCAGTGCCCCACCTGTTCTGATAAAGTGCGCCAACTGGGCTACAAGGCCAAGCAAGGTTATATTATATATAGGATTCATGTTTGCCATGGTAGCCCAAAATGCCCAGTTCCTAAGGGTGCATCTTACGGCAACCCTGTACATCATGGTGGTAACCAGCTAAAGTTTCCTCAGAGCCTTCAGCCTGTTGCAGAGGAGCAAGCTGGAAGCCACTGTTGGACTCTAAGAGTCTTGAATTCATACTGGGTTGGTGAAGATTCCACATATAAACTTTTTGAGGTTATTCTCATTGATCCATTCCATAAAGCTATCAGAAGAAATCTTGACACCCAGTGGATCACCGAACCAGTCCACAAGCACGAGGAGATGAGTGGGCTGACATCTGTAGGCCAAAAGAACCTTGGAAAGGGCCATAAGTTCCACCACACCATTGGTGGTTCTCGCTGGGCAGCTTGTAGAAGGCGCAATACTCTCCAGCTCCACCATTACTGCTAATATAAGTAAAGTTTGTAAAATTCATAGCTAATAAACAATTTAGGACAGTCATGTCTGCTTACAGGTGTTATTTTTCTGTTAAAACTGGTCTGCAGATTGTTTCATGAATGCTTTGTCCAATTAAGAAAGTTAAAGTGCAATGATGTTTGAAGACGGAAAGTGATGGTGTATCTTGTTGCTAATAAGATAAACTTTTATGTCTTTGCTTTATCTTATTAGGAAGTCATATGTCAGTGTATAAAACATACTGTGTGGTATACTAGGCTTAAAATAACTTTTTTAAAAGAGAAATACTGAAACTAGTCCTGTAGATTTGTCTGGTGCATGTGATGAAACCTGCAGCTTTATTGGGGTGATGGCAATGCCCTGCTGGTTTACTTTCAAGTGGCTGGGTGGTTTTTAGTTTGGCAGGTATAGACTTTTTAAATTGAGCTTTGCTTTAGAAATTGTAGGGTGGGAGGAGGACATCTTAACTATGTCATGATTATATTTAGAAAATTATGGGCACAAATCAGGGTTAACCTGAATAAAATTGCCTCAGTCTCCACAGTACCATTTTAAGTTCACGTAAAAGGTGAAAGCCCCTGGTTCAGTGCCTTGGCTTCACAGCATTCAGTGCTATTAACACTGGTATGTTTTGAAATTGAATGTTAGATACAATTATTAGTCTTAATGTTGGTAAGCTAGGAATCAGTGCCAGTGGGGTAAGCTGGCGAGCCAGTGTCCACTAGATAAACATGTTTTAAGTGTGAGCTTAGAAGTCAACATTAAAATACTTAACTGTAACACTAGTTTGTGATCATTATGAATCCTTTCAGTCACATTAGTGGGGAAAGTAGTTGACTATAAATACCTCACTCTTGGTCTAGTCAGTCTTAAAAACGTCTTGGGTTACCCACTCTTCCCACTCCCATAGGCTATAGAAAAAGTCGTACATGTGCATGGTTTCCAACTGTATGTATTTTCTGCAGTTATTTCTCTAGTTTCTGGCCAAACCACCCTAAAAATCCTTACCATTCCCCAAGGTTGGCCTATCACTTGTGCGCCCACTTTCACAGTAAGTATACCACCCTGTTGCATCTCTGTTTGCATCATGTCTTCCAGGAGACTAGGCTACTGTTTTCCAAGGTGAATTTGAATGAGAAGGAAATGTAGACAAGGAATTGCTCAATTCTGAATTTTGACTTTGCTGATGTAATTTAAATGCTCATTTCTCTGAACCAGTTTTCTCCTATCTTCCTTAGAGGTTTCAGAAGGCTCAGTTAATTTATTTCCAAGTACTCATAGCAAGTTCATAAAAGTTCTTGAGACCTAAATTTCTTCTCAAAAAAAAGAAAAGATCTTAAGTCATACATTTTGATTGTGTAGAGATTGTTTAACTAAAGGAATAAATGTCTATTAAACTTAAAAAAAAAAAAAAGAAGTGCTGGATCATAAGACAGGTGTGTATTTAAGAGATACTAGTAAAACTGAAGCTGTATATACCCCACAAATCTGCAATTTCACTTTAAGCTTCACTAGGAAGACTCTCACATGTTTACATGGAAAAGTCATTCCCATTAATGCTCATCACAGCATTGCTTATGATCTTCAAAATGCTTAGAACATGCAAAGTAAAATAATCAGAGTACTGACTGTATCAGAGTAAGACAAGGAAATGCAAATGGTGCACGGTGGGGTTCACCGAGGTCTAAAGTTTTGTTTGCTCCAGCAGCAGCAACAAAATAATCAGAACAAGAAGTAACCACACAAAAAAGTTTGCAGCAAACGTGACAAAAATGTTAATTTTTGGCATAATTCATGTGTGAGTATACTTTTTATTGTGCTATTTTCTATATTTTTCCATATCCTTGTTATATTCTATAATTAAACACTTTCAAGTTAGCAGAGAGTTTTGCATTAAAATTAAACTTCACTGACTGCCAAAACGGGGTCGGTAGGATAGGGGAAGTTCAGTTCACATTCAAGTTCGGTTCCGTAGGATTTCAGGATATTTTAGATGACATTTCAACTTCAGATATTGAAACACTGGTTCTTTTTCTCTTGAATCTGACTTTCTTGTTGATCTCCATTTATTTTGATTCCTTCCCTTTCCGTAGTAGAAAAGAGTATGTTCAAATGTTTTACCAAGTTTCTCTACATCGAATCACAACCTAATTGCCTATGAAATACATATTGTTATCTCATTTTGACTGGAATTTGCATTTCCTAATACCCAGTGATACAGAGAACTTATTTTTAATGTGCTTTTTATGTGCTTGTGAATTTTTTTTGCCATTTTTTAAAATTCTCCTTTTTACTTTGACATAATTGTAGATTCATAGGCAGTTTTAAGAAAAATAAGAGAGACCTCATATACCCTTAAACTAGTTTTTCCTGGTGGCAACTATCATTGTAAAACTGTAGTACAATATCACAGCCAAGATATTTGATACTTTTGTTTGTTCGAGATGCAGTCTTGCTTTGTCGGCCAGGCCAGAGTTCAGTGGTGCCATCTCAGCTCACTGCAACCTCTGCCTCCTGAGTTCAAGCATTTCTCACGCTCAGCCTCCCAAGTAACTGGGACTATAGGCACATACCACCTGCTTTTGTATTTTTAGTGAAGACAGGGATGTTTCACCATGATGGTCAGGCTGGTTTTGAACTCATGACCCCAAGTGATCCACCTGCCTGGGCTTCCCAAAGTGCCGAGATTACAGGTGTGAGCCACCATGCCCAGCCTGATAGTGATACTTTTAAAGGTATAGAACATTTCTATCATCACAGAAGTATTTCCCTCATCTTGCTCTTGAATAGCCATACCCCGCTTTAAAAACTAGGCTTATTATTGAGTTGTAAGAATTCTTTATTCTGGATCATTTGCTTTTTATATTTTAGTTTGTTAATGTAGTTGCTTAAACTATTATTTGTTGAATATCAAATCAACTTTGCATTCAGGGATAAACTACACTTGGACATGATATGTTTTTAAATGTAATTTCATATACAGTCTGGTTAAGTTTTGGACTTTACGTTTTCTGAGGAATTTGTACATTTCTTTTGAGGTAATAAATTCACTCTTACTACCTTTAAAAAAAAAGTTACTTTTTAATGTCTATACTAGCCATAGAGATATTACCCCTCATTCTTCATGCTGATCATGTGTCTGTCTCTTCTTTATCTTTCAAACTTTTTTAAAAGTTAAGAAAAAATCTTTTAAGAACTGTTGATTCCATTGAGTTTTTCCTCTCTTTTTTGTTTTCTGTTTCAATTATTTCTGCTCTTCATTATTTCCTTTCTCTTGCTCACTTGAGCCTCAACCTGCTTTTTTTTTTTCTCCAAGTTTCTTAAGATAGAAGCTTACACCTTTGATTTTACATCTTCTGCTTTTCCATTGTAAGCAACATGTATGAAAATGGTTTTCAGACTTTGGACAATAGGCAGCACAGGACAGCAATGCTAGAAAGAACAACAATTTATTTAACAGTAATTGTTTTTAAGAATTTGCAAATACATTAAAGGTAAACTTTATTACCACCTAAGATGGTAATACCTTGGCTTAAGACAAGTGTAAATGATGTATACTCATTCATTAACTAGAAATTACAGCTATAACATTAGGTGAACATCATTTTCAGAAAATTTTCTTATTTTTTTAAAGTTGAGACAGAGCCTCACTCTTGGCACCCAGGCTGGAGTGCAGTGGCACAATCGCTGCTTACTGTAGCCTCAATTTCCTGGGTTCAGGTGATCCTCCCACCTCCACCTCCTGAGTAGCTGGGACTGCAGGCACATGCCACCACACCCAGCCAATTTTTGTTTTTGTGGAGACAGGTTTTGCCGTGTTGCCATGCTGGCCTCAAACTCCTGGGCTCAAATGATTTGCCTACCTCAGCCTCCCAAAGTTCTGTGATTACAGGCATGAGCCACCATGCCAGGCCTTCATTATATAGATATATTTTAAAATATTCTTATGGTGAAGAAAAGAGATTTTGGAAAGCTAAGATGTTAGGATCATTTTTAGCTATTTTAAATCCATGTTGCAGCAATAGAGAGAATCAGTGTATTTCTTAATGAGAAACATGAGGACATTATTAATTCCACACTTCTTTCCATCTCCTTCTTCCACTTTTTTGTTTGATTGATTAATTGATTGATTTTTGAGACAGAGTCTCACTCTGTTGCCCAGGCTGGAGTGCAGTGGCACAATTTTGGCTCACTGCAACCTCCACCTCCCCAGTTTATGCAATTCTCATGCCTCAGCCTCTCGAGTAGCTGGGATTACAGGCAAGTGCTACCAAACCTGGCTAATTGTTTTTTTAGGTTATTCAAAACTTATAACATTTCCATTCTGTTTTGTAACTCAGATTGCCAAAAACCTAATACTGGTTTTGTTGAATGTACGGTCTACCATCAGCCCGTTTACCATAGCTTCTCTATTCCTGAGTTCTTTATTTATATTCATCTTCTTCTATATGTCTGGCTTTTGTTTTCAGTTATTCACTGAATGTTTCCGTGGTTGTTTTATTCACTTTCTCATGTTTGAAAATGTCCGAAGGTTTTCATTTTCTCTCCCACACCTCTTTCTGCTGTTTAGTTGGAAGAAGAAACAAATAAATAAACCTACCAAACTTGTTTCTCTCTCTAGATTTGAGAATTTTCAGGATTTTGTTAGTTTTTCCAAGGGACTGCTGCAAGGTAAGGCAGGATTCAGTCAAGCGTGTGCCTCTTGTCCCTGCCCCAGGGTTTTCTCCTTTATCATCAGTCATAGACCCCAGTACACCTGTGACTTGTGTGGTTGGGCTCATAGAAGTTGTTTTTTTTTTTTTTTTTTTTTAAACCACATGTTACCATTGGACAGCCTGCGACTTATAGCACATATATTGTTTAGTGAGATTGTGTAAAGGACTGTACGTTGTCCACTCCCATATGGGCTTGAGATTAGTATATTTGGTATTACTAATTCATGTACCACCTCTCATACCTGTGGTAACAGTTCAATGAATTTTAAGACACAGTCACTTCTTTAGTATAGCTCCTAGTTTTTACTCGCTAGATAAGTCGTGTGCTTTTATTCTGTCTCCAGATTATAGAGGTGTGGTAGACTTTGAGGATATTACGTTTGTTCTCTAGTCTGTTTGTTCAGTGTACTACTCTTCTAAGGCAAAACTTTAAAATTGTGATGTCACAGTTTGTACCTATTTTCATGCCTAGAGATGTGACACATTTATTGCTTTTTGTATAGACATGGTTATACCTAGCACAAAGTATTCCATAGAAAAATTGGCAAAATAATAGAAAAACAGAATAGAGACCCCGAACAATAATCATTCATAAAGGTTGTTCAACCTGATACTTCATCAGGATCATGCCGTATAAAGCAACTGAAATATTCTGTGCCAATCAGAGTAGCAAAAATAACAAAATCTGATGTATCAAGAGTTGGTGATGCTTTTATTACTATGGGATTGATGAAAGAAAAAAGAATTGGTGAGGATATGGAGAAAAAGGACTCTCATATGCTGGTAGTGGGAGTATAAATTGGTAGAACCACTTTTGAGAGCAATTTGTCCTCTCAAATTCCTCAAATTTTGTACAGAAATAACTACTTCACCTCTCAGAAGTTCCATTTCAGGGTTTATGTCCTAGGAAGAACTTCTTCATGGATCCCAAGAACATATTTGAAAGAATTTTCATTGTAGTATTGTTAGTTATATTTAGAAATTGAATACAGCTCCATTAATGTGAGAGCAGCTAATGTAAATGAAGCAGCTAGAATGAATGCATAAAGCTACATGTATTGATAGTAATAAAACTCAAACAAACAAGTCCATCCAATTTCAGGATAGTGGCTGACTCTGCGGAGGGAGATTATCAGTGTAGAACAATGAGGGGGTGTCAGGTACTTTAGAAGCAAGAATACTAACATTCAATAAATCTAGGTGATGAATACAGTGGGGGTCTCTATACCAGGCTAATCAATTAAACGTTCTATCCTGATAGAAGTCTTCTATGACTGCACTGTACACTGTGCTTACACTTGAAATGTAGCTAGTATGGTTGAGGATTCTGTTTTACTTTTATTAAATTTTAATGTAAATATCCACTTGTGGCTGGTGCCACTATGTTGGACACTGCTGCTCTGTGCTTTTCAGTGTGTTAACATAGTTAATAGTAACTATACTTCTATTTTTAAAAGAAGATACTCAATGATTTGGCAATTCTGCCTCCTAGTAAATACTTACTGATGTACTTATGAAGTCGTGCAGGTATTTTTGCTTTCAAAATCTGTGTGATACCTGAAATTAGGTAAATGTCTGAGGATAGTTAGAATATGGAGAGTAAGGAACACTTTCTTACTCTCTGTCTTTCATATAGTGAGATTTAGAATAGTGATCTGAATTGTAACATTGTTTTAAATAGGAA